ATTTATCCAAGATTTATAAAAAGACTAGTGATCTAAAACCAAACAGATACACCCCAGGCACTAATTCAGCTTTATACAAAAGGCACTTAAAAGCGGGGCTCACCAGTTTATTTTTCAGTTTGAAGAAAATAATAATTGCTTCAATACACAGAGCAACTACCACAAAGTAACAAGTTACTGAGGGGCACTGACTTCATGGTGACTGCCTGCACACCCCACAGCATATGCCAAACATTCCGGGTAGCCCGCTCTTTAATCTTAACTACCTTGCATTGCCAAATCACCATTACAGATAGCGAACTCGACCTTGGACACAAACGTGCCTATGATTTACCAAAAAAAGGACAAGGAGATGCAACTAATTTTGTTGAATGTGTGTTACATGTGAACTGCTTATAAATGAAATAGGCTACTGTAACTTCAGATGCACCTTGGACATCTAGTAGATAGAACCTACTGTTCCAGCTTCAGCTCCTCTATTACACTACAGCTTAACACCCAACACAATCCAGTGTCATAACCCCACTTCTGTGTACCAGAGGCATAAGCAGAAGTAACAGACACAAGCAAACTCCTCTTAAAATGTTTAACCTAGAACTAAAAGCTAGAAAAAACCTGCAGAGACATGTTCCCCCATCCCCCATTTTGGAGCTCTACTAAGCAGTAACTTTTGCAGCAAGAGAAGTACACCAAGTAGGAGAGCTTCCATGTAAACCACAGTAGTAAGATTGTAATACACAAGTAATGTAGCTAGTGAGAAGGAATGGAATTGCTTCTGATTCAAACTGCTGAATTTACTAGGATACAACACTTGTAAAATGCAGTAAACTACAACAGTGTTCTCAACTGTAGCATGTTAAATCATTCCATCTTAGATAGGAAATGTGTTGCAGCAACAATAACAACCCTGATTTGGGCAGTTAAGTAATTGCATAAAGCAGCAATTTTTACACTGTAAATGAAAAGCATTTTAAAAAATTTGCGTTCATGTCTCAAATACTGATAATATACAAAGACAGTAGGAATCTAGTAATTAGCAAGTTATTCTAAAGGACAGAATGTTGAGAATTATAGTAAGTTACTAAACATGCTAATTTTCCAGTTATATTGCCAAATACAGTCTGTCTGGAGTACACTCCAAAACAAGAGAAAAGCTTTCACATTTGTGATTTCACTACATTGCTTAAAGCAACTGGTGAAAAGTCACCAATCTTCCATGCAAGTTAAAACATGCAGGCTTTTTATTTACGTTTGTTAAATCCAGAAGCTATTTTGACAATAAAAAAAATTCTATGATTTTTGAAACCAACTTTGAATTTTCTGAATTTAACTTTGAATTTACATGCAAAAGTCTTAATTCACTCCTTCATTAATGGAAAAAAAAAAAAAACAACTTCATCCGGACTGAAAGTATTTATTGCAAAGGTTAAAAATACTTGTTCTTACCTCCACTTTTGTTCGGTAGAGAATGAGACGCTTTAGGCTGCCCACTTTGGCTATGTGGTTGAAAGCCTGAGGTGGTATTTTATCACACGATGAGAGATTTAATTCCTGAAGATTTGGACACATTTCAGTAATGACCTCCAAGCACGTTTCATTGAGGAAATGGCCACAAGACAACTCAAGACGTACTAGTTCAGAGCCACAAACTTTCAAGAACCTGTGAAAAACACATTTTAAGTGAAAAATAAACAAACTTTCAGGAGACAGTCTGGATACAGTCAAAACCTTAAGCATGTAAACAAGGAAATACTTCCTTTCAACAATGAAAAGCCTACACCACAGCTCTTATGTCACTTCAGTTAACTAACAGAAAACATTATTAGGTTAAAGTAAATTAATCATAATCACTCTGAAGAAGTTACTTCTGAATCTAATCTGTACAAATCCAGAAAAGACCAAACCAATTAGGTGTTGAGTTAGAGAGCAATATTAAAAAAAACAAAGGTAGTGTGAGAGTTAAGGCTGTTTCATCAACATTAACTTAATACCATATACTAGATACTATACAATGTTTTGTACAAAGGAATATTTGACCACATTTTAAGAAACACAGAAGGCTATATAATGCTGTACATGGCAAAAGAAATCTAATGTCACTAAAGCAATCCTAAAAATAATTCTACCTTGAAAACACATTGTGAAAGAATCATTGGGGGTGAGAATGGTATAGAGAGGGCTTTCTATTAAATTAACATTACTCTTGAAAACTCTGTTTTGGTTTAGAGAGTTGGAACATGCTTCGTTCTTGCCATTCACTCCAAGATAATGTAGCAAAGTACAACACAGATAATCTTTGAAATGCTTTTAAACAGTCCCCAAAGCCAATTTTGACAATGGTCCGCAAGTTTCCACAAATAATTTCATATTTCTCTATCTCATAAAAATCTGCAAATACAAAAATTAGGTTAAACAAATGCTTTCAAATGGCCGAAATATTCAGAAGAAATATATTGAGACTTTCAGAAAAACACCTCTTTCCTTTCATTAACAAGTCAAAATCAGCACTTTGTAGCTGTTCTAGAACAAAGACTCCTAAGGACTATTTCACACACGACTCTCATTGGAATTATAAAAATTTAAGATAATAGAAGACAAAATTTAGAAACGTCGATGGTCACTGCATGAATTACAGCTTCTGCCAGAGATCTTATGTCAGAAATTCAAACTCTATTACATCTAATTCAAACTTTAATTAAAAACACATAAGTTTACATCCATTTTTATTGCAAAGATAACCTTCAAACTGTAAGTTAATCACTAGGCTTGTAACTTTGATATTTAATAGGAAAAAAACTCCACATGTTTCCTGTGATTTGTTACACTCTATTTTAATAGTTTCTCCAGTAGAAAAAACCTAAGTGCCTAATCTATGCACTGCAAAGAGTTCCCCTTGTTATGTCCTAGAATAATGGAGCTACTTGTGAGAGAGCATGAATTAGTTTCTCATAATAAATATTCTGATCCGCTCTATTATCAGTTCTATCCTACAAAAACCTTCACGCAGACAAAGCAGCTTTAGGTTCTGACACTTTCACCACATGTTAGCGTTACTTCTTGGGTTTAACTGATACAGTAGAAATGCCAGAGACACACGAAGCTTCTACTTGCACAAAAACACCTATTGTTACAACTAAACAGGTATTAGCCTTCACAAGATTTTGCACCTGCTGAAACTAAGGACGAAATAGCTGCTGGTCTTAAAAGCAGACACATTCAGGGAGGCATTCCTCAATGACACTAGCAGTAGCACAGGACTTGAAGTCCATCTTTCAAGGTCCAAATTTTCCAAACTTCTCCTTTCCTTATTTTTTCATTACCCACTCAAGTCATACTTACCATTCACCATCATCTTTCTTCAATTCTTTCATCTCACACATTACGCAGCCTTAGTTGGATTATGCAGATCCTATGCAATATGGAGGGCAAAACGAGATTCCAGGGTGGCATCTCCATCCCTGGAGGTTTCCAAGAGTCACCTGAAACCTTAACTGACCTGATCTAGCATTGGGGACACTTGCACTTCAAGTGGGAGCTTGGAGTAGATGACCTTCAGCGGTCCCTAACATCCAACATTTCTATGAGCCTACACAAACAGAAGCAAAGAGTGGGTCTGAGACAAGAAAGGAGAGACATAAGCCCCAGTGCCATGGGGGGGGTCTGCCAAGTATGGCCTTCAAATCTACTCTTTCACTATTTCTGTCTAACTTTGCAGACTCTCTTTAGAATCCATTTTAGTTTGTAAAAATGAGAGTTTAAGAAAACACCAAGCACTTATTTGCTGTTTTCATACTGGATACAGTGAATTCACCTAGACTGGTAAGCCTTCTTACGGGAATGTCAGAGCTGAAATGACATGACAATTCACAACAACTAACATCAGGTATTTAAACATTAAACTGCTATTTTAGACTAGCAATAGAGTTCAACACTGCCATGAAGAAACACAGGATGGAAATCCCCCGGAAATCACAGTAGAGACCTATGGATTCATTGCTGATTACCAATTAGCCAGTTCCTCTATTTAATGAGTGTTTTAACAATACATTCACACAGCTTCTTTCATCAACAAATTATCAGGTTTGTTTGAATAGTGATATTTTCCATAAAACCTTGTCAATCGCCACTTGCACCTCTAGCTTTTAATCTGCTAATGGATAAATATTTTATGAATTACTCCATTACAATAATGGATGTTGGGTTAACTGCCATATAATTTAACAGGGCTCGGCTGTTATAAATGTTGGTACAGATCAATGCTTTTCTCCTTCTAGGACCACTAAAAGTTAACATTACCAGGTTAGGAAAACACTCAGTTAACCCCCTACACCTGGAGAAAACCTCCAGGCTCACCAGCTTGAGGAGTTATCCTCATAAAATTTTATTTAAGTTCATTACACTTGAAACACACAGGCACAGCAAACACAGCGACAGCAATGAGCATTGCACTTCATGGCTTTGCCGCCTTTTTAGAAAACATTATTTAGGACACATTAAACAGAAAAGTAAAGGGGATAAGGAACATGCAGTAAGGTACAAGAACAAGCTGACAGGCGTGAAGATGAACAGAAACAGGAGGAGGAATCTGAGGAAGCCACCAACCAGCACAGGGCAGAGAACATCAGGCAGAACTGCAGAGTTCTCCGAATGATCAAGACACCACAGTCTCTGTTTGCACTTAACAGGCTGCTCTGTATAGAGTTTTTTTTGCTAACGTCTTACTACACGGATCTCCAAAGCCATATGGCAAGGTAGAACATGGGTTCTCACGCTTTCAGAACAAATGTGGCATAGCCTTCATGCTTCCGAGACTTAATAGACACTGGATGCCCAGCTCTGACTTAGCTCATTTGAAAACAAACCACCCCCAAAAAAGCACCTCTACCCAAATCAACATTTCTTCACATAGCTCCTTTAATCACTGAAGATTGACTGGTTCCTATTCTTAGTCTCTCCTCCTTTCTGCACAGTCATCCAGCCCTTTAGTTTTGCTTTTACTGACTATATTTTATACACACAATTTCTGAAGTGATTTTCCTTCATGTTTGTTACAAAATATGACTGGCTAAACAACCTAAAATAATGTGAACATACACATTTATTTTGCTAGACACTGGACTGGGCCTTTCCCTCTAAGTTTATCCTCACTCAGGGTTTTTTTGGGTGTGGGGTTTTTTTTTTTTGGGTGGGGGCTGGGCATTTTTTTGTTGTTTACTAAAAAGAGCAATGTCACTTTCCATCACCTTCTGCCTGCTCTCGAGAACTGCTTGTGACCCCACCTGGAGCACTGTGTCCAGCTCTGGAGTCCTCAACACAAGAAAGACACGGACCTGCTCGAGCGGGTCCAGAGGAGGGCCACGAAGATGATAAGCGGACTGGAGAACCTCCCCTGTGAGGACAGGCTGACAGTTGGGGTTGTTCAGCCTGCGGAAGAGAAGGCTCTGGGGAGACCTTATAGTGGCCTTCCAGTACTTAAAGGGGGCTACAGGAAAGATGAGGGCAATCTTTTTAGCAGGGCCTGTTGCAACGGGACTAGGACTAATGTCTTTAAACTAAATGAGGGAAGATTTATGCTAGATATAAGGAGGAAAGTTTTCACGATGAGGGTCGTGAAACACTGGAACAGGCTGCCCAGAGAGACGGGAGAAGCCCCATTTCTGGAAACATTCAAGGTCAAGTTGGACGGGGCTCTGAGCAGCCTGATCCAGCTAAAGACATCCCTGTTCACTGCAGGGGCGTTGGACTAGATGACCTCTAAGGTCCCTTCCAGCACAAACTATTCTATGATTTAATCCAATGGCTTGCAGAATTACATTTTAATGTTCTTCTTAAAGTTACGTTCAGGTATTTTTATATTCACAGTGATGCTTTTCCTTTCAAGTCTGCTGTGTTACACAACGGCAGCAGCATCTAGTACAGATAATTGTAACAGAAGTGTCAAGATTGGTATGACTGAAGAACAAATGGGTACATAGAGGTGTAGAGCACGAGAAAGAACAAAAGGCAATGCCACAGCTGGAAGAGCAGTGTGTGTTGGTGGAAGTTAGATCAGCAGGTCATCAAGATCCTCGAACATATGTGTGTGCAGTTTCTCAGGACACGCAGATTAGGAGATGAAGGACAGAAGTGGCACAGGATGGTGAGACTACACGCCAGATAAATTGCTTCGGACATGTCTCAGTTGTCTTGGTGCACATGAATATGCACACTTGACAGTCAGACTGAGTAAAATAATTTTGCTTTAAAATGAACTCAGCTTCCCTTCCTCTAAGCTATTCTAATTGTTACAATGCTATTTTCTACTCTAGCATGTATTACACTTTTTTTTTGGTCACCAAATCTTAAAACATTGCATGCAAGTAGGGAGAATATTAAGTACCTGATCTTGTGGTTTTCTCAACACAGATTAAACTATCTCAATAAAAACATGCAAACCAAACATTATTACTTAAGCTCAGTTACAGCAACCCTAGGTATTTTACTAAAAACCTGTGGAAAATAAAGCAAGAGACAGACATGATTTTTAAACTGAGAATCCCTGTAAAGTCACACATTAGTCCTATTTTCTGACTATTTGATGCATGTTTCATTAATTTCCCTGACCTTCCTGCTAGTCTGATTCATAGCAACACCTCACCAAGTTAAACATCATCAAAATACACCTCTACCACACAGCAACTAAAGCCTTCAAACATTAACAACAATGGAATTGTTAGAGAAATATACCTGGATATGTTTGACATGCAAACACTGCATCACTAACCTGAAAGTAAAACACTATTAACCAATTTTCAGAGTAGACAACGTTAGAAGTAAATAAAAATCCTAATACCTCAGATATTTAAACCCAAATGGTTTAAACAAGCTAATGACATTATCAGTGACACAAAAAAATCTGCATGCAGAACCCTGTTTTTAAACTGTCACTGTCCTTGAGCTGTTTAACCCTCAGAACATTTATTCAGCATCTCAGTATTTAGTACATACCTCCAGTCAACTTGCCTCACTTTTCCTATATAGGTCTTACCCTCCCACACTGATATCCCCCTGGCATGAAGAAATTCACCATACCTCTAATGCCCAGAGAAATGCAGTGCTGCTTATGTAACCCTCGCTGTGAAATCTTTGCTTATTCCCTGTCACTTTGCATTCCAGACATTTGAGACTGCTCAGATACTCATTTCATTTGTCTTTCACTTTTCTGTATACTTTTAGTTCAATCTAAATGATAAAGTTTAGTTAATTTATATTACATGCTGAAATGAAATACTTATGATAGTCATTTTTAGCCCTAAGGAGTAGATGTTATCAATAAGTTAAAACACCTTCAGCTTTGCCTCGGGATGTTCATACGCCTGAAGCATTCTATCTTCTCATGATAATACAGTATTTGCTTCAGTCACATTTCTTAAAATTACTCTTTTAAAAAATTTTCTACTTTAATTCATTTTTGCAGGAATATATATTTTTCCAATTATTTCTTACAATCATGCCTGTATGAACCTTTTAAAGCAACACACAAATTTACACAAGCTGCTACTTCTAAGACTGTCGTAAGAAACCGCAGATAAAAACATTTTTGAAATACATTTGCCAAAATAAAATTCAAGAAAGAGTAGCATTTAAACATTCCCTGGCTCCCAGAAATTGTAACCTAAACTGTATAGTTGTGAGAATGAAACTAACTCTACCAGTTTTGAATTCAACAGGGCCAACTGTAACACCAAATACTGAGAAGTGCAATAATAAAGAAAATTAAATAAAAAACAGGTCCTGTAAAACTGAAATGCTGTTATCTATGAGGATAAGATATTTTAGTTTTAGCATTTTGCTGTTTCTATACTGCAGCAATTTGTAGTGTTTGTGAAGTTATTTACAAACTTCAATTAGCAAATAGTGCTTTTTCTCCTTGAATTGACAAATATAGGTTGGCCTTTTAAAAAACAGCGTAAGGGAGCCCTTCAAATTGTTACAACTTCTAGGCAGAATTCTTTACATCTCCAAGTAGTTGGCTTGACAGCCATTTCTGGTCGCTTATGCAGCAACTTATCACAAAATTTATAAACCTGAAGTATTGGAACAAGCAATTTAGGCTCGTTTCAACTCAACCTGAAGTTACAAGAAGACTTTTTCACCAACTAAATCCAAAATAAAGATGCAGCTTGGTACTCTATAGGCACTCCTCATTGCCTTATTTAAAAAATTCCTTTGCAGAAAGAAATAGGGGATACCAGGACCAAAGAGGGAGCCAAAGACAGCAGGATAAAGAGAAACCAACAAACTGATTCAGAAATATTCACGCAGTAGGCAGCAAGAAGTAGTACTTCATACTAGTAAGTGTAGCAGTACATCTTCTACTGCTATGTATAGAGACAGACAGACATACATAAGCATTTAATTTCTGCAAAGGACAATTACAGTCTGAAAACCTGATTAATTTTTAGTAACAGTTAACATCAGGAGGTAACCAATACGAGCAGCAATGCACTCTGCCCAGCCAACTGAGAACCTCCTCTGCAATACTCATATTCTGAAGAACAAACCGGAAATGAAATTTAACTGTGAAACATAATTCCTATGAAAGTCAAAGTATCTCCATTCTTTGGCAATTCTATTCTGTGTAACTTCTCCCAAAAGTCAGGCTGGGTGAGGAATGTCTAGAAGTTCAAAAGGAAAAATTGTAGGAGTTCACAGCTACATGGCCTGGATGCTGCAATATCCGCGTGGTGGCATCTCAATGACAGGCAGGGCAATAGAACTAAAACATTAACTGACAGATTTCTCCTTCTCCAGGAAGCCACTGTTCGAAGAAAATTATGTTAATGCTTTTGAAAAGCAAGTGTTGTTCTAATAAGTTTCCTGTATTAATAGATACTTCCATAAAAACGGGCAGCAAATTTTCCTTTCCTGGAGGCCGGCAAATTTGACAAACATGCAGATGAAGAACGTCAAAAGGAAAATCTGTGTTTGGAAATTTTACTAGAAAAGACACTTCTACAGAACAAGGAGTTGCAAAATTATTTCTGTATTAGGAAAAAGAAAACTTTCAAAACCAGACCTAGTTACAGTGGAGAATTTTTGACTCAGAAGCGAAAATTCTGAGCAGAAGTCACACCTGAAAATTATTTAGCTTACAACTTTGTTTCAGAAGTTTACAATTGAACTGCATTTCCCACTCTAAGGCTGCATGTGTCTCTTGGAAGAAACACTTTTTCCTAGAAATACGGATAACTTCACAATTGTATCGATGTCCAAGAACACTTTTCCCCCTTGTTATAAAGAAGTATCATCCATTACAATGAAGTGATAAATTGACCATATTTATTCACAGACTAATATTCAATAAATGAGTATTTATTATTTTAGAAATGTTGACTACACATAAATGCTGATATTAGTTCAGCACTGGATTAAAAAAGTCATTAGCAATAAAGCCACTTACAACTAACTGGAAGTCAGAAATGCGAGAATTGCAAAGTTCTCTGAATTTGGACATTCACTTCTTTCCAGACCACAAAAAATTTTAGCAGTACTGCATGTTCAGAAAAAGTCACGAAAATTTAAAAAAAAAAAAAATTGCCATGAAGATGCACATACTTTAAGTTTTCAAAAGACAGATTTAATAGCTAAGCATCAGAAAACAAGCACTTCATGATTTCAGAACTGAATTCTCAATTAAAGCTTGCATAATTTTTCTCTGTATAATGTATCTAATACGAAATCCAAATTCAGAAGAAATGTTTGTATACCATTCAACAACCAGCTGACGTCTATCTCCTTTATCCACCAACAAGCACAAAAGAGCATAGGGCTCTTGGATTATACTGGAAGTCAAGAAAAAAAGAAGTGACATTCTTATCTTGACAAAGTATTTCTTCAATTTATTTTATTTCCTCAGGGAAGGCACCCAGGCACCAAAGTAAAGAAAATGTTTGGATATTTGATTTAACCTTTTTATTCAGAAAACAAATGAGAGTTAAGAATTTTTTTAAGATATATTAAACATTTCTATATCTTATCAGTCAAGTTCTGCTTTCACTTGCCATTGCTGATGACCTCTTAGTTGAAGCAGCAATTTTTGCTTGAGTGAAATGCATTGATTGATGCTGTTTAACTAATGCAAACAAGCAAAGAAGCAAAAAATGATATGTTAAAGAAGCAGGGAACATGGCTGTTATACAGAGAAGAATCCCGGCAAATCTGCTGTTTTAATGACCTACAGCACAGTCGTATTTTCAGCTCAGAGGAAGATGCACATGCAAACCCACTGTTTCCCCAACAAGGCTAATGTTTTAAATCATTTTTATGAAAATATTTGCATTTACATTGCACTCCAGTGATTACTTAGGGCCCCTACCTTCTAAGCATGCACTGTAATCAGTTTATTACTGCAGCCATTCTAATACAGTCCTACTGACGACTATTCTGTACAAAGAACAACTGCAAACATTTTCTTCGCGAGATGGACTTTTGACAGCTTGGTTCTAGCGGAGTCATTTAGAAGCCCAGGAGAAAGCAAAACATTGCTCCCCCTGGGAGAAGCCTTTCAGTCACAGGCAGTTTGCCACATGCACACTACATATTGAAACGGACTTCTGCTGCTATACCTAGTATCTCTTACTGGCTTAGCTGTTGTTTTTTTCTACATCATAAAAACCACACCCTTTAAAGTAAATCAAAGACATTTCTTGTCTTTTAATAAGGTTTCAAATACTTAGTGAAACTACTGTGCAGCAGCTCTGCAAACAGAGCTTGTCAAAATACTTCTGTACATTCAGCACTGACCTGCTAAATCCAGAAACAGAGATGGCTCCCCTGTTTCCAGTCCAAGATAAATTCAGCCACTGGATGAGAGTGCAGCGAGACTGTAGGTATTCCAGAGATGTGTCATTAATCCTTGCCCAGTAAGGTTGTAAACTGAGATGAATGTACTGTAGAGGATCACAGCAATGTTGATACAGTAGCTTACAAGTTTGCGCTAGTCTACACAGGTCTGGTACTGTAAGGTGACTCAAAATCAACTGGATGAGCTATATTAAAAACAGAAAAAAAGTCACAGATGGTCATATAGCACTTGAAATGTTAAGGGAAAACTGCAAAGGAATAAGAAAAGATGTTCTAACTTCAAAGAAAAGTAAATCCTCTTACTTAAAAGTAACTTCTCGAATAAATCATTGATTAACTATTAAATAGGACTGCACTGCCTCCTCAATTTGACAACACATTAAACAAGAAAGAAACAAGCAGATCAGCATATGAAAGTGACAGGAAGCTTTCAAATTAGAAGTTTCTTTATCCATGCTAATTTAAACAGGGATATATACGTAAACACTATGTTTACATATTGCCCTTCACAATGTCTGCACTGCTGTTGATCAGAACACTGAATTGGCATCCTCTTTCTTCTCTGGATTTGGTTTTTAAGATGGTAGCATATCTGCAGACTACTTGGAAAAAACATACCATGTCCCAGTTTCCCCACACCTTGAACTGATTGCAGATGTATTCCTCTGCTCCCTGCTTTAAAAATCAGTGGTTTGCCTTCTACCTTATATCCTCTCCCATCCATGCTGGACTATGCAACTAGGTAAAAAATTAAACATATGCAGATCTTCTTTTACAAGTTATCTCTTCCTTGCTGTAATACTTGGAGAGCATTTTTGTTCTATGCCAGAGTCAAATCTGAAAGGCAAACCCCCTTTTTACCTTCATCAGATTGAATCATCTCAGCTTCAGAATAATCACCAGCCCTTCTGACTAGCACCACTACACTTTTTCGTAATGACTTCTCTCACACTCAGAAATTAAGAAATATCTCCCGCCTCCTGTCATGCTCTGTTGTCCTTTCTAAAGGAAGATCAACACATAGACATATAAATACTCGTTTTAGGAAATAATAAAACCGGTCAACAACAACAACAAAACTGCTTTAGCTTAGAAACGGAGAGAAAATGCACTTGAAAAATGAAATCTAAAAATTAATGTTTACTTTACCAGGGCTGTCTTTATCAGCTTTAAGTACCTGCACTCAAGTTATGTAACTAAAATTGACTAACTGTTTTCAAGCATAGTGGGAAACAGTAACCCACTGAAACGAATCACTGTAAATTAAAAAAAAACCAAACCAACAAAACAACCAACAAACAACCCACAAGTCAGCTTAAACTGAAGAGAGTCCTGTGGCCCTTTCAAAATACGATAATGTTTCATTTTAATGTCTTATAAGGATTCATAAGCCAAACCCGCCAAAAATCAGAATAAAATGCCTGACAGAAAATGAAAATGAAGCTTTCGGTGAGATCCAAACAGATTGTACTTCCAATGTACCAGTTTATTATGCAGCTAGCTTCCGCCTCCCCTGCTCCCCCTTCATTTTTGGAAGAGAAGAAATAAGAAAACAATCCAACTTCCTGCAAAATGAAAAATGTTACTTCCTACTCAGCTCCAGATTTAGTATTTGGATTTCAAACACAATCTACGCTCTTCAAAAAACTTAACTTCAAATTCAATGCCAAAATACAGTGTTTGCATATACTCCAGTTTCTCTCAAGTCTGATTTCAAGCATTCCCTCTTCTCTTCTCCTCGCTCCCCCTTTCCCCTAAAAACAGCCCAGGCTTTTTGTCTCTGCAGGTGCCTGGAACTTTCACCTCAGCTTGATGCATCAGATCTGCACAGATATTTCAATGTGACACCAATATACATATAAAATACACATGCATATATAATAACTGCAGTTAATATAGTATAATCAAGAAAGTTTGCTCCCACCTGTCATTTAGGTTGCTGGTATTTTGGTATCTGAAAAAGAGCAAAATAACTAGGTGCTAGCATAGATATAATCCCAAATTAATATCTTGATTTTTCCTTGGCTCAGACACATACTTAAGCTTAAAAGTTGCTTAACACAGTTTTGTTTGTCATTCTAATAGTTGATACCTAAATATATACCTATTTTTCTAATACCATCAATTCACTTTAAACAATTTTCAGTATTCTGAAAGACAGCCTCAAACTATTTTGCAATCTTTCAGCTATTCCACACTCTGTAAGTCACCTAAATACCTATTTTATGAATGTCTTTTCCCTCAGATTTTTCCCATGCTGACTTACTAAGTTTTCTAGAGCAGAGAGCTCAGCAACAAAGGCTGCAGTTAGCTAAATTTATGTCTACAATTAATATGGCATAATAATGTCTAATAAAAACAAAGTAATACAAATTTTGTTTAATGAAAAAAAAAAGTTATTTTGTAACTTCTGAGCAGTAAAGACAATGGTGAATGAATCTATAAATGCCTCACCAATGTCCCTTTACGCTAACTGGACTTCAGTGAATATTGCATAACATACAGGATGGTGCAATCATTCCACACCTGAGATTGGATCTCTTGCCACATGAATGTCTCAATCAGAAAAAATAATCCTTTATTTTTTACTGAAATTATGCTGCTTCATAATATCTAGAAAAAATATGATATGTCACTACTATGACATTGAGATATGAAGCAGCTTTTTCTGGCTTTTGATTAATCCAAGATAACAGGTTCCAAACCTACAGGCTAATAACCATTAATCACCGTTAGTCTGGAGTCTGGTGTCTGTTAAAATTTGCTTTTTATGTATGTGTATCCTAGCATAAAGTACAATTTGATACCATATTGAGTACGTGACATGATGTGCTGTATTGTGCTATACCATGTTCATGGTGATTCCAAGAACGCTGCAGAACTGAGTATCTGCTTTGAAAACTAATTTTGTAACACAGTTTCTCAACTGTTTTTACTCTGCATTTATGAACAATGGCGGCAAACATTCTTTGACACTTTTCTAATAAATTGGTCAGTAAAAACAAAGATTATTGGAAAAAAAAATACAAAGGAGTATAAAGAGGAAACCAAAATATAATTTATACAACACTGATCGCCTTTTTAGGCTATGATGGACCAAAAGTACTTCCTCCCTCATTTCCAGGGCAAACATGGCACATGCCAGCTTTAGAGATGTGGCAAGATCAACACCACTACAATGAAAACCTCCAAAACCTGGAGGTGTCTAAAACATAATTCTCTACAATTCAACGAACAGCAGCATACAAATTCATTGTGTGCTGTTTCAGCACAAAAAATATCCTGATTCACACTTGATTCGTGTGTGTTTCATCATCATCACAGTCCCCAATTGCAGCACCTTACAGATATGCCTTTATTTTGAATTACCATTTAAAAAATATAACATCTTAAAAAAGCAGGTATCTCACCCACTGCAAAGTTTGCTTAAAAGCTCAGACAGGATCTCCATCACACTCTTCAATACATGGGGTAAAACTTTACCAGTGGCATAGCTCCTAATAGTACTTACCTACCCAAAAGTTTCTCCAGCTTTCTTAAGTATTTTTGCTGAATAACAGCAAGCAATAACCATTTGTACCCAATGAAATACTTTCTGTGGCTAGAGCACAATAATGAAGAACTTGATTTGGTCAGAAAATAATGCTTGGATGCTGATCAGACCTAGAATATCTGCACTTTCTACAAATCTCTTTTTCAGTTCTTCAACACGACTCCCTCCAATATAAAAACACATTGGCCTATGCAAACCACTCATTCAGAAACACACAAATGAATGACTTGCAAATTCTTCATCCTGCAGCTAGAGCTGTCACAGCTTAGACTCTTAATTAAGTAGAATTGATACTAAGACATGCTCAGATAAAGGACAAAGGATACACGCACAAAAAGGCAAAGAGAGAATGCAGGTAGGAGAAGATGGTATTCCAGGGCTTTTGACACTCCTCAACATAGTTTAAGAAAACACAGTCCCTAGTTTCACAATCCTATAGCTTGCACCAGCAAATGCATACACATTTAATAGCACACATGAACACGTGCAAAGTGGATCTTCCAACTGTGGATCTTGCAACTGTTTCACAAAACACAAACATTTAAGTCTCTCTCTTCTTTATTCTACTCACACAACATGCTTTGACGGAGTGGGTCCTACATCACCAGGCTATAGGCTCTGATCCTCTCAGCAATGAAAGGCTGTAAAAGTTTTAAACCCCTTCTTGATTCAACGAACAGAAAAGGATCTTACTGACAGACTGCACAACCAAATAATCGAGACTTCAAGAGAACTAAAGCTGGACAGATCTTCTCCATGTGCTATTGGTGCGAGCCCAGTCTGCTATCAACTGGCAGTATATTGGCCACTGACTGAAAGGGAATCTTGTGCCATATGGTTATTAGCTGTTAAGACAGCTTTTAAGACCCTCATGAGTTTCTCTTTCCAAAGAGAGGCATAAAGCCTTCCTGATTATCCAAAAGCCTACAAGTACTTGTTCTGGAAAGATGCAAGAAGTTTACTGTTGAGGGGAAAAAAGTGTACAACACTTAAAAATGCTCCTGCTGATTGCTCCAACTCTTCTAAGTATCATTTAAGGGATGCAGATCTTATATTCAAGACCCATTTTCCTGGAACATAGGTGCCAAATCCACATTTAGCGGTGAAATTCACTTCCCCAGTAGACATGAACAGCTCATAAATCTTGTAGGCAGCTTTAGGAAAAATTGGCTTCAAGGAATGACAAAGATGTCATTTATATCTTTTTATACCAAAATTTATATATATATAAAAAATCTTTTGGACTGCAGCATGCAGGATTTCTCCTGACTCTCCTTTCTGGAAAACAAAAGTTAGGTTCTTGGTACCTGGCACATCTTGGTGAGTCTCAAACTGCACAACGGGTACGCTCTGGCAGGTATTCCTCACTTTTCTCAAAGGCTTTTAACTTGTTCAGGCCTTCAGGTCTGAAGTATTCCTGCAAAGCCAACTAAGGCTAAGGCCTTACTCCTTCCACTTTACAAGCAGCACAAGTTAGTCAAGGATAACTGGGAAGACACACAAGGACATGAAGTATCTCCTAGAAAATCCTTCCTCAATTTTAAGGTAATTTTGGAGAACATATGATAGTACTTCACAGCTACTGAGGGCTGGTTAACACTGTCCATGAGCAGGGAAGGAAAATTCTCTTAC